TAGCAACAGTTAAATCTAAAAAGATAAAATAGTTAAAAGTTATTAACAATTAAAATGAATAATAATTATTATAAACCAAGAATCATTAAGGGGTTTAAAATTTTATAAACCTAAGAACTCAAATAGATTATCAGTAAGCATATCAGTAAAAAATAAGCATAATTTATAACTGTACAATAAAAAAGACAGCAAAATGTGTATCGATACAATTTTAACTAAATTTCGTAAGATTACTCGCTTTGTAACCGAATAAATTACTTACGTATGCAACGTGTACTTTTAAGAAAAATTTATATTCGATAATAGCTTTAGTTCAAAACATACAGCAAACAACTTTGATGAAGATATAAAAAATAGTCAAATAAAATTTAAATACAAAAGAGTTTTATATGCACACATTAAACAATAGAACTCTTACGTTTTACTTCAGTTCAGTGTTAGGTTCGTATTTATTTATCTTTTTAAAACAAATTTTGTCGACATGATTACTAATAACAAGTGCAGACTGATAAATGAGAAGGATTAAATCAATAATATTTAAGAATTAACAGGTAAGTTTTGTTTCATGATCACCAACGGATCATCATAACAAAACAACACAAACGCCATATTGGATTAGAGCGTCTTAAGTCAGACACCCGTCTTAAGACCGATTTGTCATTTTCAACGTAAGTGTTTCAGTTGAATTGAAACTTACGAGATTTCCCATCATGCATTGCAAAAGTTACGATTTCCCCCCTTCTTAAGACAGTCGATGTTGCAGTTGAATTCCACCCGTAGGGGTTCGTGCAGGTTCCACTTTGACCATACTTCCATTTCTCCCATGAGGTTTTCGATGTCAATGAAATCTGCTTAGATTCGGAAATTGCATAAATTAATATCAACGTTCACACAATACTTAGGCAACACTTTATTGAGAGATGCAAGAGTATCTTCTTGCTTCGAAGATCTTTCAATCAGTTGGACAGCGAAACAATCTAAAAAAGGAATGTACAGTGGCAGTCAAAAGTATTCGTACAAAATTTACCCACTCCATGTGCGCTCATACACCCCCAAACTATAATGTTACCACCGCCATGCTTTACTGTCGAACTCAAATTTTTTGGTTGTAGCTCTGTATTCTTTTTACGCCACACAATTTGTCTGCCATCAGATCCAAACACATTAAACTTGCTCTCATCTGAGAATATAACCCTGTTCCAGAAATCAGGATTTTTATTAACATGCTGTTTGGCAAAAGACATTCGTTTCTTTCTATTAACTTCCGACACAAAAAACTTTTTTCGAGATACTCGACCATGGAATCCTGATTCGTTAAAAGTGCGGCGTATAGTACTTACCGAGATCGAAATTCCCTGTTTGAGGAGTTCTGCTTTTACTACCGGGGCAGTCAATTTTGGATTTTTCTTAATCAATCTTACGAGTAAGCGTCTGTGCTTAATGCTGAGAATTTTTGGGCGTCCACTTCGTGGAATATTTTCAATAGTATTGCGTTGTCAATGTCGATCTATAACACTCTGCACTGTAGATCGGGGTCTTCCAATAGCAAGTGATATCTTTCTTAAAGAGTTACAATTATTATGTAGTTTCATTATCAGTTTTCTTTCAGCGAGGGAAGTTTCTTTTCCCTTCCGAGCCATCTCAATTTAAAGCTGTATGATTGACAACAAAAAATGCGAGTTTCAAAGCTAGTAAATATAAGAATGAAACAGATAAAGCGGTAAAAGTAAGAATAATATAAAATCTCGCCAAATATATTCCCACAAACGATATTTGGCGCACAAATTGTCTTAATTTTATTATTTTACAACTTGAAATGTGGATGTACGAATACTTTTGAAGCAAGAGGTTTAGTGGTGAGATTCAAATTCTCACTCTATCGAGGAGCTCTTTATGACCAAATTTAAAAATTTCCTCTTAAAAATTCAAATCATTCATGCAACAACTTGAAAAACATTAAGATTTTTTGAACATTTCAATTAATTTTTACGCAATTTCAATTTTTATTCACTTTTGAAGTTAGTAATTTAAGTGTACGAATACTTTTGACTGCCACTGTATATATTTTGACGGAAGTACTGCTCTGGGTCTGTGTTCTGATTTTTTATATTGCCACGGTGATTTTGAAAAAAGACATTTTTCAAAAGGATGCCAATCTAGGAAGTTTTACATCTAGATCAAAACTTGTGAAAGTATTAAGGAGTTCCGAATATAGCTTTTGAAATTCGTACTCGGTATTTTTTTCTTTTGTTTAGAACTGTGTTGTTTATTGATTTTACATGTATCAAAGCTCCATTCAAATCTAGATGAGTTTGTTGGAGTGCTTTGCTCAGTGGGAGAGTCACAGAAAAAATATTTCTACAAACAAGTAAACTAATGTAAAACTCACTTTTAGTGATAGTAGAAATAAGATAGTCCGCTTTAGAGGAAGCATCGCAGTTTCCAGAAGCCTTTACTTCTTCAGCATTACTATACCACCATAAGTTGCTTTTAAATTTTGCCATTTTTTGATTATTTCTTTACCACCATTGCTATTAATTTTTGTTGCTACATTATCTTTCTATGTATTGCTTAAAATTTTTATTATAACTAGTTCTCTTTGAGCAATAGCTTGAATTTTTGCTATTTCATTACTGCTCTACTGCTAGCGGTTATGTTGAATTTTTTTCTAATATGAAGTCCACCTCCCGAACGCACAACTGACCTCCGACCAAGTGCACATGTGAAGTTAAGTTTCTCTTTTTACATGACCCTTATATGAAATAAGACCACAGCTGTAGTTGCAACCATAACTCATTTAAAATTTCAGTAAAGTGTTTAATTACCAGTAATATTTTCATTTTACAAGTTCTTATGTCAGGATTAAAAATTTTTAACAGGAAACACTCATGTGATTAAGTATTTATACAAAAGAAGACAAAGAAAGACACTTTAAAAAGATTTATTATATGCTTCTGCTCTTGCAACATTACTACAAATGTCATGGATTTTGTCCGATAAATAACGATTTCTGTGTTTTATTACAGACTCTATTTCTGAAGACTTTTCACCTTTTTTAATCAAAAATTCTTTCATTTGACCTGAAATGAAAATAAGATATGAAAGTAGAAAAAAAAATTATATAAAAATTAACGAATTTTTAAAAAAAACATTCAACTTGTTAAAATGCAGAAATAATTTAGCTTTAGATGAACTAATAGCAGTCTAAATGTGTAAAAGCCGAACATGATCTTCGGTAAAGGAACAAACCATATTTCTTAAAGTCATAATAGAAATTTAACAAATTTCAAGCAAAATGACTTTCTCTTAATCTTGTTAGTATTTAAAATATGGCCACAGAAAACTAAATCTTTATTTCAAACAATTATATAGCATTTCTCCATAAAACTTTGCATTATTAAAGTAGAAGGAACATTTCTCTGCAGTTTTTTTTTTAATTAGTGCTTAAAAAAATTGCATATAAAGTTAAACAGCAGAATTTACAATTTAACCAAATATTTTTTTTTTTTTTAGTAAATGAAAACTTGGGGTCCAAAAACAAGATGTACACTGGAATGCAGCATTTTTAGTTTTTTTATTGCAGGATATATTTTGAAAAAAGTGATTTGATAACTATTTTCCTTTTTTTACTTATACTATCAACACTGAGATAAAAATTCAGATAACTGATAAAAAAAAAATTAGCAATATGTAGTTTACAACATAAAAATTCTCAAATATATAAAAAACTCATTTTTTTTATTTTTTGTCGTTTAAGGAGATTTTCCTTTTGCACCGTGTACATCTTCATTTATAAAAGAAGTACTTTAGATTAATTAACAACATACTCTTTGAGTAATGATAAAATATTACTGACTATTTCAGTATTATCTTTATGGTTATTTATAAAATTTTTTAGTCAAAATAAACTTTTATTTATTGGTAAAAGTTTCAAGAGATAACAAAATGCACAAGTTCACTGAAAAAGTAAAATATTATTTGTACTGATAATAATTTAGCATGTTTAAATAAAATGTATATACTTGTGGAATCGTGAAATTGAAGTACGTCAGTTGGAGGTTTCCCTCCCTTAAACTTCTATATATTTAGTCCACACTCAATGGTTATTATCTGAAATAACAGCCAACTTTTCAGGCGTGAGAGGTGGTTTTGAGTCTTGCTGTGGATGGGGATGGATAGCACCTGAAACTGCTTTCTTAGGCCCGTTTCCGTTTTTGCATACTTTTCCAGTTACGGACCTACCAGCTGATGCAGCAGTTCCCCATATAGCCACAGCAAGACTCTTGGTGAATTTTCGCACATGATCCAACTGAAACAGTTCTTTATACACTGTTTTGTTGATGGAAATTCCTCCTCCAAGTTCAACCTGTAAGAAAAGCATAGCTATGATTATTTAAAAAACCAAAGAAAAATGCTAATTTAGATCACGTAAAGAGATAGAAAAAAAAGAGTGTCACAATTATGATGAAATATGCAATTTTATGATACAAACACAAACCATTATATGCAGGGGTCAGTCCAGACATTTTGTGAAATGTCCGGTTTTTGTGAAAAAATTAATCACATTCGTTCAACCAGGGTCCTGATTTTATGAATTTGTGCAAATAGGGTCTGGTTATTGCAAAAAAAAAATTTTTCAAGGAGTTTTTAAATTGTAAATAGATACAAGATTATGTTCAGCACTGTAAAATCACAAAAAAGAATTTAAATTTTCAAAAATAAACAGCAATTGCTGCTTCTAAATTGGAGATGCATCACACAAATATTTGGTATTTAGCCTATATTGCTGAACGCAGAAGATTCATTTTGGATGAATAATAGAAGAATTGCCTGCCGAAGACAAAACTTAATTCGTTTACATCTGTCTTTCTTACTTTTGCACCTGGAAAGGGTTTATTTGATGAACAAAACAATAATGAAGATAAACAAATTTGTGAAGGGTCCGATCAAAAGAAAAATCATCTTGTGAAGGATCCGTTAACGGACCCAAATTTCTTCTAAACAGACCCCTGATATGAAACTGTTAATCAGAAAACCAAAACAGCTTAATTTCTTTGCATTGAATGCTGAGCCAAGGGACCACTGATAATCAGTTGATGGTTATCCAAATCTCATTTTAGTGGGCGTAGAACACACCACCATTAATTATGAGACCTGTAAATTTAAGCAATCCAATCATTAGTCAATAATTTTGTTACAATGAAGGGAAAGAAATTTAATTTAGAGCCATGGTTGGAATTTCTTCTACAAAAACCTATATTTTTCTCCCAGGATACAAGAAAGATAAAAATCAAAAGAAATTAAACACAAAGGAAGAAACTAAAAATGACCAAAGCAATTTAGAGAAAAGTTTAATTTAAAAAAAAAAAAACTATTTTTTCACGATTTTAAAGTAATAATTCTTTTATATTCTTTATTGTTACTTTTACACAATTTTAAATTTATTATAATGATTAATTTAATCCCTAAAATCTTAAATATGTTTGAATTATTATCTAAATTATTTGTACTTTTTGAAAGTAAAACAAACGATGACAGACTTATGTCGATATCAATAAACCACTCAGCATCAAAAAATTAAGAGTTAACAAATTGATTAGAGTAGTAATTTTGCCATACCTCCATTGTTTCGGAATCACTTGCTTCTTGAATTTCAGGCAATTTTCTAGCTGTACAAGAGCATTCTACTAAAAAATATACCATAATTTTATTGTTATACAAGAAGGTATTAAGTGTTACTTCACTTTTTAATGGAATGAAAAATATAACCTTTTATGTCAATTCAAATTTCAAACGCCAGGAAAAAAAAATGCATGCATGCAAATACTCATTTAGTATACTAATGACTGATATTACCATACAGTATCAACTTACATAGAAGTTTTCAATAAAAGTTCCGTTGTGTGTTTTAAATATGTTAACAAGGAAAATATCTGGTATATCTTTTATATTTATGTTATAGGTTATAATTAAATTTTGTGAAAGAATAACAGCCTTTGAATTTTGGGAAAATTCATAAAACTAAATACAAAAGCAGATACAAATTTGTTTTTGATGCAATTAAAAAAAATTTTTTTTTCAAAAAATAACTGAATAAAAAGAATAACTTTACACTGAATAATACAAACTATTAAATAGTGGAAGTTAAAATTATTCAGGAAAACATTTGTTTAATATTTAAATTTTCGTCACAATTACAACTCAGACATGTAACAAAATGTTGCACTTTCTTAAAAATTTCATGTAAAACATTCAAGTTTTGAGAAAAATAGTTTGAGCATGGTGCATAGCCTAATCTTTCTTCAAAAAATAAGCACCTTTTAAGCACTTAAAAAAATTTTAAAGCACTATATACATTAACAAAATGCAAAATAATTAAAAATAGTTTCTGACAAAGCGCTCTTCTCTTGATTATATTAGCCATTATAAAATTATCAAGAAATTTTTCGTTTTGATATCAGAGGGTGGAAAATGAAGCCTGACATTCAGAATATCTTGCAAAATGCAGCAGAGTTGCACATGAGAGGGCAATAATCTCACCAAACCCAGCTCAGTCGGCGGACACGCAATTATTTCATTAAACATGTAAAACGATTGGCTCTTTCATACTTTTTGATTGATACAAATGATTGGCTACAGTATGCCGAAATAGATTGCAGTTGAATGAATTGTGAAAATGTTGATTAGAACAAAGTGGAAAGCCCGCTTTTGCATAATATGTGGAGAAAAAGAAAAAATGGTAAAGAAAAAAAAATTTCATTTTCAAAAAGGGAAAATTAAGCAGTTTTTAGAAACACCCAATGGAAAAAGCACCTTTTAAGGGCTTTTATAGTAAGAAAAATCGAAACATGACTAATAATAAATCTCACAAGATTTTAATGTTTAAATTTGATAATGAGAAGGTTTTTAACATTAGAAACTCAGATGGACGCTTTAAATATAAGAGAGTTTTAATTTTACACAAATCATTGTCAAAATTTAATAGAACTAATTAATAAAGTTAAGTAGAATACTATAAAATGGTATTCTAATCTTCAGAATAAGAATGGGGAGCTTTTGAAGTTTTTGAGAAAAAAATATGATCGCAAGAACCTTGAATAATTTAATAAAATAAACGAAAAAAAAATTTGCTTGGTTCTACTCCGAGCTAATATTATGAACGTTATGAAGCTTACCTTGACTAGTTGGCAAACATAAAAGCCTTTCTTGTAGCTGTCTATTCAAACTTCGCAATTGCACAACTTCGTTGTTGTCTACATTCTCAGCCTGTTTTTCTAACTGAAGAATTTTTCTCTCCAGATTTTCGATCTTCTTGTCAGCTTTCTCTTTTTCCAACATATCATAAGATGTTTTTAATTGTCTGAACATGGTACTTGGTATCACTTCAGGATCATCGTCAGAGTCTGAAGTTACGAAGCCATCAGTTTCGTTTTCTAAATCTGAAATTTTCAACATAAAACATTTTTAGAGACAAAGAATAAAAGCTTAACAGCGCTGTGTTACCATATTATGCATTTTCATTATTCTCCCACGTCACTACGTAATTCTATGTTTATCCATTACCTCCAAGTTTGTGTTATGACACCTCAACAACATAAGAACTAAAAAATTAGTTTGATAGTGTTATATGAAAATTATTCCCTATAAATTTACATTCCGAGATAAATTTACATTCCAAGATTAATTGGTCCAGTTTCAAGCTTATATTTTAATATTTCATTAAAGAATATACATAAAAGATTTTTTATATAGATCTAATAACATTCTTGGTAATATTAAAGATTTTTTTTTTTTTAAAATAAAATATTCTGCTTGTTATTTAGTATTTATTACTTAAAAACCTTCTGATAGTTGACCATGCTGGTGGTACCTTGAACAAACGCATGACTCACATATCATATGAATCTCAGTATTTTACTTTAAAATAAAGTTATTACTACAGGTTATAAAGTAAGTTAGCATAGCAAGTTAAAGCTATCAAAGAATGAGTTAAACAATACAATATCATCTCTTATTAATTCATTATACTCAAAATAAAAAATTGGAGACTTTAATAGTTATGTAACCATAAGTTCTGATCACTGCCTTGAAAGCTAATTCAGAAATGTAAAAGTTATCTTGCATTATTATTTAAGACACTTACCTAGTTTACTGAATATCTCTTTTCTTGACCTTTTTCCCTCTTCAAAAATATCGTTAGCTCTTTTTCTTTTGCCAGCATTTTCTCTATGCTTCATCTCAGCATCCTAAAAGGTGAGTATATCCAAATGTGCTTTTAGTCTACAGTATTGAAATATCAGTAATAGTATATTCCACTAAAAATAACACCCGATTTGGCAAGGAAATCTGGGTAACTGTAGATTCATCAATCTTAGTTTGTCTACTGAAGTAAGTTTTAGTCTTTATTCTAGTCAAGTCTATTTTTACATCATATTTTACAATAACATGTTCTTGGCGCATATTCCTTCACATTGGCAGATTCTTTATCTAACAGTTTTATATTATAAGGCATTCCAATGTTGTTGATTTAAATTTAATTATTTCATCTTATGTTCTTTACACATTTATTCTTTTATCAAACATTTGAAGATTTTTGTGGAAAAAATTTGTTACCCTGTGCTGTCTAAACTAATGATCCATATTAATGAAATCCTTACTCCAATAAACATAATACATTGTCATTCACCAAATTGAGTTAACTCTCAAAAACTGCATAGCAGGTCACCAGAATGTTGAGTATGCTCAGGTACCCATTTCTTTCATTCAAAATTACTTTTCTTTACAAATTAACAAAAACACTACTTCTAACTCAAAATATAAATCTGTAGCATCTTTATTTCCGCATCTAAACAAATGCTATATTTTTACTATCAAAACATAGCTTCAATTTGTAATAAAAACACAAATACTAAAAAATTTATAAACGCCTACTTCTTTCTTGCTTTTTGTTTTCTTTTTCAATCTGTAAACTAGCAACTTCATTTTCTGTGGTGATAATTTCTTCCTCGCACTGCGTAACAGGAATGGCTGGTCTTTTCAGCTTCAGGCTAGTGATGAATGAATCTAAAAAAAAATTACGAAACATAATATAACTGCAACACTTTGATATAATCTCTTGATTATTATGTTTTTTTTTATAGAAAATATTGATATATTTACCTTCTATTCGTAAAATGTGGGCAAAATAAAACCCTTCTCCTTGAGAAACTTTCCACGAATGTTTAGGTGGAAGCTCTCTGAGATCTCTCAATAAAGAGTGGCACTTTTCATCGTATTCGTTTTGGAGCGAATGGATATGCAAACTCCAAAAACTTTATAAATGTTTGTCACAAGATACGTTTCTTTCTCAAACTTCTTAATAAAGCCTACAGGCACCTTAGAAAATTGCTTATCATTAATGAAATATACGTAAGCGAACATAGTTGCGAATTGAAAATCTCAGTATAAGATTAAAATAAAATTTTTGTGGACGCTTTACATAGAAAATAGAATGGTCATTTAATCGGTTGCAGTTAAGTCATTGTATTTATACTTCCAGTTAAGTAGACCGTTTGGTTTTAGCCTTGGTTAGGTGAATTATTTTTGTTGTTGTAGTTAAGCTGTCCAATCCGNCCTCTTCAAAAATATCGTTAGCTCTTTTTCTTTTGCCAGCATTTTCTCTATGCTTCATCTCAGCATCCTAAAAGGTGAGTATATCCAAATGTGCTTTTAGTCTACAGTATTGAAATATCAGTAATAGTATATTCCACTAAAAATAGCACCCGATTTGGCAAGGAAATCTGGGTAACTGTAGGTTCATCAATCTTAGTTTGTCTACTGAAGTAAGTTTTAGTCTTTATTCTAGTCAAGTCTATTTTTACATCATATTTTACAATAACATGTTCTTGGCTCATATTCCTTCTCATTGGCAGATTCTTTATCTAACAGTTTTATATTGTATTTCTTTATATTATAAGGCATTCCAATGTTGTTGATTTAAATTTAACTATTTCATCTTATGTTCTTTACACATTTATTCTTTTATCAAACATTTGAAGGTTTTTGTGAAAAAATTTTTTCCCCTGTACTGTCTAAACTAATGATCCATTTTAATGAAATCCTTACTCCAATAAACATAATACATTGTCATTCACCAAATTGAGTTAACTCTCAAAACCTGCATAGCAGGTCACCAGAATGTTGAGTATGCTCAAGTACCCATTTCTTTCATTCAAAATTACTTTTCTTTACAAATTAACAAAAACACTACTTCTAACTCAAAATATAAATCTGTAGAATCTTTATTTCTGCATCTAAACAAATGCTATATTTTTACTATCAAAACATAGCTTCAATTTGTAATAAAAACACAAATACTAAAAAATTTATAAACGCCTACTTCTTTCTTGCTTTTTGTTTTCTTTTTCAATCTGTAAACTAGCAACTTCATTTTCTGTGGTGATAATTTCTTCCTCGCACTGCGTAACAGGAATGGCTGGTCTTTTCAGCTTCAGGCTAGTGATGAATGAATCTAAAAAAAAATTACGAAACATAATATAACTGCAACACTTTGATATAATCTCTTGATTATTATGTTTTTTTTTATAGAAAATATTGATATATTTACCTTCTATTCGTAAAATGTGGGCAAAATAAAACCCTTCTCCTTGAGAAACTTTCCACGAATGTTTAGGTGGAAGCTCTCTGAGATCTCTCAATAAAGAGTGGCACTTTTCATCGTATTCGTTTTGGAGCGAATGGATATGCAAACTCCAAAAACTTTATAAATGTTTGTCACAAGATACGTTTCTTTCTCAAACTTCTTAATAAAGCCTACAGGCACCTTAGAAAATTGCTTATCATTAATGAAATATACGTAAGCGAACATAGTTGCGAATTGAAAATCTCAGTATAAGATTAAAATAAAATTTTTGTGGACGCTTTACATAGAAAATAGAATGGTCATTTAATCGGTTGCAGTTAAGTCATTGTATTTATACTTCCAGTTAAGTAGACCGTTTGGTTTTAGCCTTGGTTAGGTGAATTATTTTTGTTGTTGTAGTTAAGCTGTCCAATCCGACAAAAGCTAATTTATTCCGATCCAGTCCATTACCTCCTCGAAGATAGAATAAATCAGCATAGTGAAAATAAATAAATAGAGAAAACAAATAAACTGCATTAATCAACTACGGACACAACTTGGTTCTGGGGACTGACGCGTACAAGGTTTGAGGATGCATCATTAAGAAATAATACACTGTGTGATAGAATCGCACAACCTGCAGCCCACCAGATTTTGATGTTTTTCCCGTTACAGCACCTGAATGTAATAATATTACTATTATATTTTCTGACTATTATATTTCCTTTTTTTTTGGATAATAAAAAAAACTGGCAATTATAAATTGTGCAAAAAATTAGTTTCTGACGTGCCAAATCTAAATCAATATAGTTTAGTTTTTCGATCGCTTTGAAAATTTTAATTTTATGCAAATATGTTACTAAGTTGACTGATACCAAGACTTGTGTCTGAAACACTAATGTTTACTTTTAAGTGACTAGATACTTGGTTACGCAGTTCTATAGTCTAAAAAAGTTGTGCATCCTATGAATTATAATAAAAATAATTTTATAAGAATATTTTATTCACTTTTCAACTGAAAACAACCCTTAATGAAACTTTGATACAATTATTGTAAGATAGTAGCTCTTTTCTCATATGTCGAAGATAAATTTCATTTCAAAGCGGTAAGTAGGTAAAAGTGTAATTTTCTAAAATCCGCTAGTTCCGCAGTGGATTGATAGTAAAGACACGGCTCTCAGTGAAACACAGCTGACTGCGGAAAATAGGAGGTTAGGTGACAAATTGCGATGGCATGTCTTCGGAGCATCCTCAGGGATGTTTCCCAAACCGTAGTCAATAACCTATTGTGCAGCTCTAGTACGATGTAAATAAAATACCTGCCAACCTAAAATCCAACTTCCGATCTCAATAATACTAACTCCTTGTTAATTAACATTGAAATTGTTTAAATTAAATATATAATGTAAAATAAAATGAATGATTATAAGTGCCCAAGTGTCTCTTCACTGTGTTCTTGTTTCACATTATGATTTTAAAAAAAATCTGTAAATTCAAAGATAAGGTGCATTTATAAATCCTGCAGGAGGCACACCTGATTTTATGCATGCCACTGACACCTCAGATGATTATGAATTTTAAGCCTTAAATTTCAATTCTTAAAAGGCTATCCATATACTCTTAAATAGATCCAACCATTCACTTCTCACTACCATGATTGATAAGCAAGCTATAAGTGAGAAACAGCCAAGAGCTCCAAAAAAGCCCGTCATCAGCGTTAAACCTAAAAAAAGCGAGACTCGAGTTGATCTCAC